CTGGAGGGTAGTGGCGTGACCTCGGCTCACTGCAACCTCCACCTCCCGGGTTCAAGTGATTCTCCTCCCTCAGCCTCCTGAGTAGCTGGGATTACAGGCGCATGCCACCATGCCCGGCTAATTTTTTTTTTTTTTTTGTATTTTTAGTAGAGACGGGGTTTCACCATGTTGGCCAGGATTGTCTTGATCTCTTGACCTTGTGATCTGCCCGCCTCGGCCTCCCAAAGTGCTGGGATTACAGGCATGAGCCACTGTGCCCGGCCAGCCCACTATTGTTTTAAGTTTTTGTAGAGATGGGGTCTTGCCATGTTGCCATCTTGCCATGTTGCCCAGGCTGATCTTGAACTCCTGGGCTTAAGTGATCCTCCCACCTCAGCCTCTCAAAGGTAGGATTACAGGTGTGAGCCACCACACCTGACCATTTTTTGTAGAGACAGGGTCTCCTCACTGTGTTGCACAGGCTGGTCTTGAACTCCTTGGGCTCAAACAATCCTCCCGCCTTGACCTCCCAAAGTACTGGGATTACCAGCATGAGCCACCATGTCTGGCTGTATGTTTAACTTTTAAGAAACTTCCCGGCCGGGTGTGGTGGCTCATGCCTGTAATCCCAGCACTTTGAGAGGCCGAGGTGGGCAGATCACAAGGTCAGGAGATCGAGACCATCCTGGCTAACACGGTGAAACCCCGTCTCTACTAAAAATACAAAAAATTAGCTGGGTGTGGTGGCAGGCGCCTGTAGTCCCAGCTACTTGGGAGGCCGAGACAGGAGAATGGTGTGAACCCAGGAGGCAGAGCTTGCAGTGAGCTGAGATCGCACCACTGTACTCCGGCCTGGGTGACAGAGCAAGACTCCGTCTCAAAAAGAAAACAAAAACAAAAGAAAAGAAACTTCCCTTCTGGCCAGGTGCGGTGGCTCACGCCTGTAACCCCAGCATTTTGGGAGGCGAGGTGGGCAGATCACCTGAGGTCAGGAGTTCAAGACCAGCCTAGCCAACATGGCGAAACCCCATCTCTACTAAAAATAGAAAAAAATTAAGTGGCCCGGTGGCAGGTGCCTGTAATCCCAGCTACCTGGGAGGCTGAGGTAGGGAGAATTGCTTGAACCCGAGAGGCGGAGGTTGCAGTGAGCCGATATCAAGTCACTACACTCTAACCTGGGCAACAGAGCGACACTCTGTGTTTAAAAAAAAAAAAAAAAAGCTTCCCTTCCAAATTATCTTCCAAAATGGTTGTACCATTTTTCATTCCCATGAGCAGTATATAAAGTTACTAATTCCTGCACATCTTCACCAGCATTTGCTGTGGACAGTCTCTTTCATTTTAGCTGTTTTAATAGTTATGTTCATTGTGGTTTTAGGCGGGGTGCGATGGCTCAAGCCTGTAATCTCAGCACTTTGTGAGGGGTTTTACGTTTCTGCCTTCTGCAAACCTCTGTGGTTTGTTGAAAGAGTCAGTTACACTTGCTGTGCCCTTGGCTTCACCCTTCACTCCTGTGCCCCTTAGTCTCACTCCCCTTCCCCTCTCCACGGACTCCCTAAGGCCCCCTCAATGCCAAGTCCAGGTGTCATGTTACCCTGCAACTCACCCTGAAGCACTTGGCATAAGTGCTATTCCCCTTTCTTCAAATTCTTCACCTACTAGCTTCTGTCAACCCTCTGAAAAGCGTTCCAGGGCCACGTGGGAGCCTCCTCTGGGTGCATAGAGCTTCTGGGCCTCCTCCTGCTGTGGACCTGATGTGGTGTTGAAGTCATGAGACCTGGGTTTGTCTTCCCCCAGCTCTTCCCCTCAAGGGAGGGGCCTGGGTCTGCTCCTGCAGTGGTCCTTGCTCTGGGCCTGCCATAAAGGAGGGTTCCAAGAGGGTTTGCAGTTGAATATGTGAGAGAAAGTGCTCTCTTTTTTTCTCTTTTTTTTTTTTTTTTTTTGAGACGGAGTCTCTGTCACCATTCTGGAGTGCAATGGTGTGATCTCAGCTCACTGCAACCTCCGTCTCCTGGGTTCATGTGATTCTTCTGCCTCAGCCTCCCAAGTAGCTGAGACTACAGGGACGTGCCACCACACCCAGCGAATTTTTTGTATTTTTAGTAGAGACGAGGTTTCATCATGTTGGACAGGCTGGTCTCGAACTCCTGACCTCAGGTGATCCGCCCACCTGAGCCTCCCAGAGTGCTGGGATTACAGGTGTGAGCCACCACGCCCGGCCAAGAAAGCTCTCTTCTTGTCTCTGCCCCTAGCTACAGATAATGCAACCACGGGGCAAGAAACTTAGTGCATATTGAAGAGAAAATCCCAGCTTCTCATCCAGGCTTCAGGCAGGGCCCATGCTATGGCCTGGGACCCCCTTCGACCTCATCTGCGCCACTTGCTTGTTGCTGCTGGCCTTTTCTTCCCTGAACCCACCATCCTGTTCCTGCCTCTTGCCCTTGGAAGTGTCTAGTCCTGCTGCTCTTCTCCCTGTTAAGCATGTGACAAGGAATCGTATGCTTCAGCTCACGGGTTGAGAGCCCCCTCCTCGGGAAGACCTGCCTTGTCTTGTCCACCTAATATAAGTGTCCACTTTGTCACTAGCCACTGTCACCGGTCGTGATTATCTTACCGTCTGCCATTTTCTCATTTATTTGTTTGTTTTCAGTTAATAGAACATTGCTTCAGGAGAGCAAGGATTTTGTCTGCAGTTGCCCCTTATTTCCTCATGCCTAGCAGAGTGTCCAGTGTTTATGGGGGTCCCATATTGAATGTGGAATTTTGGAGGTTTTTTGAGACAGGGTTTCACACTGTTGCCCAGGCTGGAGTGCAGTGGCATGATCACATCTCGCTTATTCCTTGACCTCTTGGGCTCAAGTCATCCTCCCACCTCAGCCTCCTGAGTAGCTGGGACTGCAGGCATATGCCACCATGGCTGGCTAATTTTTTTATTTTTTGTAGAGACATGGGAGACTCACCATGTTCCCCAGGATGGTCTCGAACTCCTGGGCTCAAGCAATCTTTCTGCCTTCACCTCTCAAAGTGCTAGGATTACAAGCGTGAGCCATCGCCTCAGCTGAATATTGAATGTTTAATATAATGAATCAGGCCGGGTGTGGTGGCTCATGACTGTAATCCCAGCACTTTGGGAGACTGAGGCAGGCAGATCACTTGAGGTCAGGAGTTCTAGACCAACCTAGCCAATATGGTGAAACCCTGTCCCTACTGAAAATACAAAAATTAGCCGGACATGGTCACATGTACCTATAATCCCAGCTACTCGGGAGGCGGAGGTTGCGATGAGCCAAGATTACACCACTGCACTCTAGCCTGGGTGACAGAGCAAGACTCCATCTCAAATAAAAATAAAAATAGTGTAGTGAATCAGGCTGGGCGAGGTGGCTCATACCTGTAATCCCAGCACTTTAGGAGGCATGAGGATCACTTGAGCCCAGGAATTTGAGACGAATCTGGGCAACATAGTAAGACCCTGTCTCTACAAAAAATTAAAAGTAAAAAATTAACTGGGTGTCATGGCTTACACCTATAATCCTAGCTACTCGGGAGACAGAGGCAGGAGGATTGCTTGAGCCTGGGAGGTCACGACTGCAGTGAGTCATGATCCTGTCACTACACTCCAGCCTGAGTGACAGAGGAGGACCCTGTCTCAAAAAAAAAAAGAAAAAAAAGGAATATAGTGAATCAGGGCAGAGCTAGAAAAAGAACACAGATGTCTGGGCCTCTGGGCCAAGACTCTTCTCCTGTCTGAATTTCCCAGCCCTGCCACAGCCCAGCAGTAGTTTGACTAGGTTCTTGTGTCTTGGGTTGAGGGGTCTCACCTGATGGTATATGGTTCTGCCCAGGGCTCAACCCATCATTATTTCGTCACATCTTTGGGAAAAGTGCCACCATACAGGGTCCTTCTAGGGCCCTCCCTAGGGCTCAGGAGCCAGTGGGGCAAGAAGAGGTGCAGGCACAGGGACCATCCTAAATGGCCTAGCTGGCCAGGGGCCTAGCCCCACTGTCCCTTGTTGTACAAATGGGACAGATGTCAAGAGGGGTTCAAAGTTACACAGTGAATTGGCAGCTTCAAGTACCTAGAACCTACTTCTCCCTGATAGTGAAATCCCCCAAATTAAAAATGCAGAGAATTGGCCAGGCATGGTGGCTTACACTTGTAATCCCAGCTCTTTGGGAGGCCGAGGTGGGTGGATCACCTGAGGTCAGGAGTTTGAGACCAGCCTGGCCAACATGGTGAAACCCTGTCTCTACTAAAAGTACAAAAATTGGCCAGGCGTGGTGGCTCATGCTTGTAATCCCAGCACTTTGGGAGGCCGAGGCGGGCGAATCACGAGGTCAGGAGTTCAAGACCATCTTGGCTAACACAGTAAAACCCATCTCTACTAAAACCACAAAACATTAGTTGGGCGTGATGGCACGCGCCTGTAATCCCAGTTACTGGGGAGGCTGAGGCAAGATAATCGCTTGAACTTGGGAGGCAGAGGTTGCAGTGAGCCAAGATTGCATCACTGCACTCCAGCCCGGGCAACAGTGCAAGACATCATCTCAAAAAAAAAAAAGTACAAAAATTAGCCTGGTGTGGTGACACACCTGTGTTCCCAGGGCAGCGAGTGGATGCCCATAGATAGTTTGTCAAAGGAATAAATTAGCCTTTTTCAGAGGAACTGAGTCTACTAGAATATTCTTTCTTCCCCTGCTGCCCCAGCCCTTTACCCCTCCAAGTCTCCCCCTCCACCTCTTCAGAGCCAGTGAGTGTTTGCTGAATAAACAAAGGCATGAATGTCTGAATGAGTGATTTCTGTCTATGCCATGGAGAATTCCCCCCCCCTCAAATCCGTAGTATCTTTTTTTTTTTTTTTTTGACAGTCTCCTCTGCCCAGGCTGGAGTGCAGCGCCGGACTCAGCTCACTGCAGCCCGCCCCCGTTACGCCATTCCCTGCCTCCCGGTAGCTACAGGCCCGCCACCTCGCCCGGCTAGTTTTTTGTATTTTTTAGTAGAGGCGGGGTTTCACCGTGTTAGCCAGGATGGTCTCGATCTCCTGACCTCGTGATCCGCCCGTCTCGGCCTCCCAAAGTGCTGGGATTACAGGCTTGAGCCACCGCGCCCGGCCTCGTAGTATCTATACCTTCAGAGGGATGGGCCGGGCCAGGAAGGTGAGTCTGGCTTCTGAGCTGGGTCTCCCCCAGGACCTTCCACTGACGGCATGACAGGGAGTGGGAGCAGGCACCTGCCGCCTCAGGACCTGTGTCTACATGAAACAGGAATGAGCAGGTGAGGGCCATCCTGCCCCTGCCGTGGGGCCCAAGGCTGGGTGGTCAGCTTATACACAGGGATACAGGGACAAGGTGGGCTTCTCCCTGGCCTGGCAGGATGGAAGAAAGTGAAACCCCTGCAAATGGCCCTGTGTCTGGCAGGCCAGGGCCTCATTATCCTGGATGGGGACCTCCCTCCCCTCAATAGGCCCTGCAGAGGGGAAGTGGCCCATGGAGGGGCTGGACGTCAGGCCTCCTGCGACCTGTCCAGAGGTTGAATGTTTGTCCTGGGAGCTTCTAGTTCACCAACTTGGTTGGGGAGCGTTCAGTGTTGCCTGTTTGGGGAGTGAGGGGACTGAGGAGGCCCCATACCCCACTGATACCCCAGAACTGTTTGCCCCCTACCCCAGCCCAGTGGTGGCGTGGCAGTAGAGGTGGCAAGGTCATCCCCTGCCACCCTTAACCCGTATCACTCTTCTATAGCAGTTATAATTGTATCAAATGCATGTGAGACATCAACTCTGGGAGGGCAGACACTGTCTCCAGTGGACAAAAACTGACACTGCCCAGTAGCACTTGGATCAACAAATGAAAAAATCAGACACAAGTCAAAATCTTTACCACTTACTAGTTTTGTGAATCTAAGGTAATCTAAGTTGGAGCCTATTTCTTTTTTGTTTCTTTGAGACAGAATCTTGCTCTGTCACCCAGGCTGGAGTGCAATGGCGCGATCTCAACTCACTGCAACCTCCGCCTCCCTGTTTCAAGAGATTCTAGTGCCTCAGCCTCCCAAGTAGCTGGGATTACAGGCGCTCGCCACCACACCCGGCTAATTTTTGTATTTTTTAAATAGAGATGGGTTTTGTCATGTTGGCCAGGCTGTTCTCAAACTCCTGACCTCGAGTGATCCACCTGCCTCGGCCCCCAAAGTGCTGGGATTACAGATGTGAACCACCGCACCCAGCCTATTTCTTAACTGCAAAATGGAGACAATCCCTGTGAGGATGAACAATCCCTGTGAAAATTCAACAGGATGAGGAATGGTGGCTCATGTCCGTAATCCCAGCACTTTGAGAGGGAGGCCGAGGTGGGAGGATTGCTTGAGCCCAGGAGTTCAAGACCCTGTCCAATTAAAAAACAAAATGGAATAAATAACTAACTAACTTCGACGTGGCCCGGCACAGCGGACACCAGGACTCCAAGATGGCGTCAGTCATATCAGTGAAGGACAAGAAACTTCTGGAGGTCAAACTAGGGGAGCTGCCAAGCTGGATCTTGATGCGGGACTTCAGCCCTAGTGGCATTTTCAGAGCGTTTCAAAGAGGTTACTACTGGTACTACAAGTACATTGACGTGAGGAAAGGGAGCATCTCAGGGGTTACCATGGTGCTGGCATGCTATGTGCTCTTCAGCTACTGCCTTTCCTACAAGCATCTTAAGCGCGAGCGGCTACGCAAATACTACTGAAGAGGACACGCTCTGCATCCCCCCACCCCGTGACCTTGGCCTGAGCCCTTCCGTGAGGAACACAATCTTGATTGTTGCTGAATCCTTTCATATCCTGATGGGAATTAACCTCCAAATAAAAGATGACTGTTAAAAAAAAAAATAACTTCACAAATATTCTCAGGGGCCTTGCCAGTTTCTGACATGAAGTACACGCTGGTGGGAGATGGTATAGAGAGATTTTGTTTCTCTCCTAGATGGGCAGCATTGATGGGCACAGGCCCTGGGAAGGGGAACATATGGCCTGGGTCACTGGGAGATGGCAGAGCTCCTAAGGAAATCGGCCACTGCCAGAAGGGTGGCCTTCTCTGAGCTGGGCTGTCTTACTCTTAAAGCAGCTCCAGAATTGTCCAGCCCCAGAAAAGGGCTGAGAATCCAAGCACCAGGATTTTGGATGGAACCTGGCTTAGGTGAGCTGTTCTCATCCTTGCCCACATCTAAGGATCTAGTACTAAGGATCAAGTACTAGATCTAGAGCAGGCTGGAGGCTGCTCCCTCTCTCCTCCCCACAGGAATAGGCAATTCCTAAAGAGTCATGAAGAAGGACCCCGTTCTCCAGGCTCTGCTCCCAGCCCTGGTGCCACCACCAACTGGCTAAGGGAACTGGAGCGGTTCCTAACTTTGTGGAACCTGTTTCCAGTGTAGAAAAGCATCTAGGGTAGCAGGCACAATGAAGTATCCTGTGTTGATGGGATGGATAGGTGGTCAAGAAGGGGCACCAGGACAGTTATGTCCATCGGAGGCTGTCACTGTAAGGAGGACCAATCATTTCTTGGAGTCTGTAAGAGCTGGGCCACTCCCATTCTCTCCATCTGAAAAGGGACCCCAGAAACCAAGCAAGCTAGGAGCAGGCAGAAGGCTGTTATATATCATGCTTTTAATACAAACTTAAAAAATCTGGAACAATAGAAACTGTACAGATTTGATCAATCTTTTTGTTTTGTTTTTAAACTAAAATCTCTAAACACACCAATGTCCCATTCCAAAATATTGCACAACATTCTGAATACAAAACCCTTGATTGTATTCCTCCTTCACTAAAGAAAAAAGTTCATGACCCTGCTCCCCGGGCTCCTCTCCAGGCTTGCCTCAATGCCCCCTTCCCATCCCTAGGGAGAAAACTAGAGAATCTATAACTCACTGCATTGAGAAAAAGACATCATTCTGGACTAACGGTTTCCATTCTTCACAAGATAATCCACCTTTTGATTTGTTCCTGGGAAAGAGGGATAGAGGATGGGGAAAGGGGAGAAAAGGTTTTATTCTCCTCTTTTTTTTAAAGTTTGTTTTTCCTGAAAAAATATGTTTCTCTCATCTTAAGAAAAAATCTTGAAAAGAAAAAAATTATGTTTTTTACGTTAGAAATATACATATATTATATATACCTCTTACATTTTACAAATGTAGCAAATTATTCAATACAAACGGACACCAAAAAATGTAAAAAATAAAAAAAAGTTTTCCTACGAAACCAGGTAAATTAGTGCAGATTTCTGTTTTTGTTTTCTTAAAAAAAATAAAATTGAAGCAAAAATGCCTAGATTTGAGACAAGACGGACTGAACTGGGCCCAAGAGCGCCTGAACACACATTTTTCTTCGTATTTCAAAAGACACAAAGGGGTTGGTCTCCCCTCTCTCCCTACATGTGAGAAACAAGCTGACCTGGTGCGGGTGGGTGCCTGTGTGTGGCGATGGGAGGAGGGCTAGAAGGGGACGTAAGGCAGCATCCAACCTTTCCCAGAGAGAAGTTATCTGTTGGGCCTGTCACCTGTGTGGGAGCCGAGGATGAGGGGAAGGATGGCCTAGACTGGGCTGGCCCCTGAGAAGTCTAGGGGAACAGATGGTGCTGGGCTGAGAAGCCAGGACATTGCCTGCCGGGGGAGGTAGAGCTGGTGCATACTGCAGGGAGAGGAGGCTGGCAGTGCTGGCCTAGGCTGGACCCACTGCCATAGCAGTTGCCTACTTGGGGTCCCTGGGTAGGATGGAGTGGGTGGGGTGCCAGGGGCTTTGGTGCTTTCTGGCAATGGGACCCTGATGCCAAGTGCCCCTCTTTGCAAAGAGGAAAAAGTTCATGACCCTGATCCCTTGGCTCCTGTTCATGCTTGCCTGGCCTCCTAGGGTTGGAGGAACAAGCCCTCTCCTGCAGAGGCAGGAGAGCAAGCGCTCTCCTATAATCCAATACATCAGGCGGGAGCACTGAGTCCCTGTCAGGACACCACTCTTCGCAGCATCAAAGTCCAATGGGGTTGGGTCAGGGCAGTGAGAAGGGGTGGCAAGAGGTACCAAGAAGCTCTCAACCAGGCCGGGGCACAAATGCAATCAACACCTCCAACTAAGAGACGCAGTCTCCACTCCAGGCTCAGGGCTGCCCCCGCACAGACACTAACTCTAAAACCCCACCCTGCCTCCCTGCCCACCCCCAAGGGTGCTCAGGTGAGCAGCTCCCGCTGGGCTAAGGTCACACAACAGGAGGGTGAAGTCCGGGGGCTTCTCATAGGCATCAGGGGCTTGGGCATTCCCTCTGCCCTTCAGAGCTAACATTATTATCTTTTTGGTCAAAAACAAAAGTGCAGATCCTTCTGCAGTCTGCAAACCAGTTCCTTCTGCAGTGTTTTCCTCTGGGAGTGTCTTGGGCTCAGCCACAGTGGTGTCACCCCACCACGCACACTGCCCTGCAAAAGGACTGCCAATACCCCCAGCCCATTCCCCAGCCTCACATATAAATAAGCATTTGCTGCAACCCAGAATCACATCCAGAAGGGAAGTTTCACATGGCTTGGAATCCTTTAAAAAAGGACAGCAAACCAAACACACACACACACACACACACACACACACACACACACACACACACACACACACCCCTCCCACAACCTCCAGCCTGGGGAAGGGGCTGCATGAGGGAAAGGAAGGCCACACACATGATGACGGTCTGGGCCTGGAGGGAATGGTGGGGTGGGGCCATAGGACAGAGATGAAAGGAGTTTCACTAGACGAAGTGCTAATCTCCCTGTAGTCACAGACATCAGCTCTAGGCGGAGGGTGTCAAGTGGCCAGCCAGCAGCTCCCTGTGGCCCAGCCTGAAAGGGAGTGGGGAATGGGTTCAGACCTATTCAGGTGGCAGGGCCCGAGAAGGCCTGCTGAGGTTGGATGGCTTTGAGTGCGAGGATAGCTGGGTGACAGAGGCAGTGACACGGGCCAGCCTTTCCCTGTTCCAGAGAGGGTCAGGCTCCAGCTGCAGCTCTTTCTTCCCTGTGAGCTTGGACACACCAATCCTAAACTAGGAGTGTGAAGGAGGAAGGGAGGAGCAGGGAGCAGCAGTTCACATCTGGACCATTCTTAGCACAGGAAGCCACTCGTTAAAGATGTTATATAGAAAACTACATGTAAGAAAAAAAAAAGAAAAAGAAATATAAAACCCAAACCAACCAAATAAATCGCAGGCCGGTGGGTGAGCGGTAAGGGGTGAGTGAAACACACTTGGGTGCTTTGCGGGGCCCTCCCATTCCGTGCCTGGGCTGGATCTTTTTTCTAGAAGTGAGAGTGAGAAGATCGAAAATCTTTTTGTACATTTTTCTTTTCCTCTTTTTTTTGGCCTTTTCTTTCTCTTTTCTGTGGTCTTGGGTGCTTCTGGCCCCACAGGCAGGTAGACGGTCAGTTGGCCAGCACCACGGGCTGGAACGGCTGGCTGGGATACTGCATGGTGTTCAGGTTGTAGCTGAGGCCTTCCACAAAGGGTGTCTTCTCCAGGAAGAGGCTGTTGGCACCACCTCCAAATACCTGGGCCATGTCAAAGCTGCTGCTGTTGCAGGTGCCAGCCCCACTGCCCTGGCCATCGGCCGCATCGAAGAAGAGGCTGGGCGAGCCACCACCGTTGTACACGAACTCCTTGGCATTGGGCGAGAGCTGGGACTGAGGGGCTGGGTTGGCCGTGATGAAGTTCAGTGAATGCATAGACAGAGAGAGGCTCTTGTGCTTCAGCAGGCTGTTGGTGGGTGAACGGGCCATGCGAGGCTGCTGTGGTGGCTGCTGGCCACCTGCCCCACTGCTGGCTACACCCCCACCACTTGCTGCCCCGCCACCCTTCTTCATCTTAGTGGAGCCAAATTTGGTGGCAGCGAAAGAGGCGGTGGTAAAGGTGATGGGCTGAGCGGAGCGGGGAATGAAGGTAGGGCTGGGTGACTGGCCAAAGGATGGTGATGGGGAGTTAGACAGGGAGCTGTCCTGGCTGCCAATGGGCACGAACACCTGGGCGTCAGGGTTGAAGCTGCTCTTGATCTCCTTGTCCAGCTCTGGGGCACCACAGCCCTCACTATCATCCAGGTACAGCACTTTCACAGCTCCCTTCTCACCAATCTGGTAGGACACCTCAAAGGGATCAATCCAGACACTCAGCTCCTCAGGCACATTGGCCCGCACATCTTCCACCGCCAGGCCACTCCGCTTGGCGGCCAGCTCCACCACGGGGTCCACCATCTCCCCAATGTGAACACAGCGGAAGCCAGAGCCCTTCAGGGGTTTTTCAGGGTACCAGTGGCCTTCATATTTATTTTTCAAAAGCCGCTCTAGCTCCTCCCCAAACAGGTCTGCCCGGCGCCGGGGCAGCTTGTTGTACAAGTAGGAGATGATGAAGTTCAGGGCCACTTTGATCTCTAGCTGCATGGTCCTTTCCTAGGCAGAGAATCAGCACAGGGCACGTGTACAGCCTTGGGCTCCAGACGGCTCTGGGAAATGAGAGGCATCATGAGAAAATATGCAGAAAGCTGGTGGTGACCAACAGCTAAGGATAGACAGAAAAGCACCAACTTTGGATCACACTAGAACCAGGAGCCTATTTCTGCCCCACCAGTGGCTAATGTCTGACTGTGGGCCCTAGTTTCCTCATTAGTAACATGAGGCCATCATGAAGTTGTTAGTTCAAGGATATAAACTGCCTCACAATGTACCTGGCAATTAAAAGGCAAATGATAAAGTTAGCTACTGTCGGCTGGGCATGGTGGCTCACGCCTGTAAGCCCAGCACTTTGGGAGGCCGAGACAGGTAGATCACAAGGTCAAGAGATTGAGACCATCCTGGCCAACATAGTGAAGCCCCATCTCTACTAAAAATACAAAAATTAGCTGAGCATGGTGGCGCATGCCTGGAGTCCCAGCTACTCGGGAGGCTGAGACAGAAGAATCGCTTCAACCCAGGAGGCAGAGGTTGCAGTGAGCCGAGATCACGCCACTGCACTCCAGCCTGGCGACAGAGCGAGAGTCCATCTCAAAAAAAAAAAAAAAAAAAAAAAAAAAAAGCTACTATTTTTAAGTAATTCTAAAGAAATAGGGAAGCTGTGTTTTCCACCATCTTGAGAATTCAGGTCACTGTATGAATGACACTAAAAAAATCAAGTCCCTAAATCAGGTGAAGAAGAGAAGGCTCTTGCTGTCTCTGCAATATCTTGGTGAAGTCGTGCCCCCAAACTGTCACAGACTAAGATGTAAGTTTAAAATCTTTGGTTGTCCTCCTTAAATGAAAAGGGATACAGGTCACTGAACAGGAAAGAGCACTGCCAATTTTTCACTGGGGGCCTGGACTCCAGTCACATCCATCTGTCATCATGGGCCCCATGGGTGTGTATGCTGTCTGGCTCAGTCTGGGTTTGCAGAACTGATTTAAGAACTCCGGCCAGGTGCAGTGGCTCATGCCTGTAATCCTAGCACTTTGGGAGGCCGAGGCGGGCGGATCACCTGAGGTCGGGAGTTTGAGACCAGCCTGACCAACATGGAGAAATCCTGTCTCTACTAAAAACACGAAAAATTAGCCAAGCATGGTGGTGCATGCCTGTAATCCCAGCTACTCGGGAGGCTGAGGTAGGAGAATCACTTGAACCCGGGAGGCGGAGGTTGCGGTGAGCCGAGATGCGCTATTGCACTCCAGCCTGGGCGACAAGAGCGAAATTCCGTCTCAAAAAAAAAAAAAAAAAAAGAATAAGACAAGAGCATGAGCCCCAGGAAAAAGGCAAGACCTGTCACAATCAGAGATGTGGACTAACAAGGGAACTGCTGCCTGGGGGCTGCCATAGGGAAGCAGAAAAAAGGAGAGAGAAGTTTCTGGTGAGAGTGTAAGTGATGAGGGTGGCAGAGGAAAGAAATTTTCCATCACCCTGCAGCCTCCAGCAGGGACCCATCATCACTCAGTCTCCCAGGGACTGTCTGACCACCTGTCCTCGGCAGCAGATCAGATTTATCAAGTGTTTTGAGATCCCTGAAGAGAAGGCAGCCCAAGATAAACATGAGATTGTTATTTTGGGATTCTCTCACAGCCAGATCCCACTGAGGTCAAAAAGGTTTATTCCCTTGGCCTGGGCCAGCCTCATGTCTCAGGAAGATGATCTGTGAGGTCCTGAGAGCCAGTGATCCTAATCTCATTTTCTCCAAAAGAGCAGCTCCGGGGCTCATGCTGGGGGAGAAACTGAACTGAAAGAGCCCTCTGAGGGGAGGCAGCACCAGAACATGTTCCGAGCCAGGCCTCTGGGCAAAGCTGTGCTGCTGAGCTAAACACAGAGACATGACTGCTCCATGGACTGTCAAGGGCATCTTCTGTCCTGTGAAAGACTCGGAGCTGGATTTTGATTCAAATCCTTTCTGGATCCAGCTTTAAGTATCCAGGTGCTAATTTCAGGCTTGGGGATTTTGAGTTTCCTAAACACCTGCCCCAACACATTTCCCTGAAATTCTCAGGCCTGGGCCCATGGCTCTTAAGGGGCATTTAATTTAATTTAATTTTACTTTATGTATGTATGTATGTATATATTTTGAGACTGAGTCCGTATATATGTATGTATGTATATATTTTGAGACTGAGTCCGTATGTATGTATGTATGTATGTATATATGTATATATTTTGAGACTGGGTCTCATTCTATCGCCCAGGCTGGAGTGCAGTGTATGTATGTATGTATGTATGTATGTATGTATGTATTTTGAGACTGAGTCTCATTCTATTGCCCAGGCTGGACTGCAGTGGCACGATCTTGGCTTACTGCAACCTCCACCTCCCAGGTTCAAGTGATTCTCGTGCCTCGGCCTCCCGAGTGGCTGGGACTATAGGCACCTGCCACCACGTCTGGCTAATTTTTGTATTTTTAGTGGAGATGTGGTTTCACCATATTGGCCAGGCTGGTCTCAAACTCCTAACCTAAAGTGATTCGCCTGCCTTGGTCTCCCGAAGTGCTGGGATTACGGGCATGAGCCAACACACACAGCCTTAAGGGGCATTTTGGGGACTAAATCCTCAGAAAAAGATTTCTGGGGTGAATGTATCAGAGAAGACTCACTGGGTCAATCTGGAGCAGCATGACAGTGGCTAAATCTAGTTAACTCTCATTTCAGGTCTGAGGAACAGAGATGGTCACATGGGACTCAGCAGAGGTGCCACAACTATGCCTCTCCCAAACCTTCCACAAGAACACTCAAGACTCAGAATACCCTGGTTTCCCTCTTTTCCCAGCCTTTTCCTTAGAGACTTCATCTCTAAGTTTCTTCATATGTCTATGTTTTTCTTTTTCTTTTTTTGAGACAGGGTCTCAATCTGTCACCCAGGCTAGGGTGCAGTGGCAGGATCACAGCTCACTGCAGCCTCCACCTCCCTGGGCTCAGGTGATCCTCTCACTTCAGCCTCCAAGTAGCTGGGACTACAGGCATGCACCACCACACACGGCTTTTTTTTTTTTTTTTTTTTTTGCGAGATGGAGTCTCATTCTGTCACCCAAGCTGGAGTGAAGTGGCGTGATCTCGGCTCACTGCAACCTCTGCCTCCTGGGTTCAAGCAATTCTCCCCCTTCAGCCTACTGAGTAGCTGGGATTACAGGCATCCACCACCACACCTGGCTAATTTTTGTATTTTGAGTACACACGGGGTTTCATCACATTGGTCAGGCTGCTCTTGAACTCCTGGCCTCAAGTGATCCACTGGCTTCAGCCTCCCAAACCGGTGGGATTACAGGCATGAGCCACTGCAAATGGCCTCATTTTTTTTTTTGTATTTTTATGTAGAGATGCGGTTTCACCATGTTGCCCAGGCTGTTCTTGAACTCCTGGGCTCAAGTGATGCACGTGCCTCAGTCTCAAATGTCTATTAATGATCAATACAGATCAAATTCAGGGCCCTTTTGGGTATAAAAAGTAAGAATACTAGAGGCCGGGCGCGGTGGCTCATGCCTGTAATCCCAGCACTTTGGGAGGCCGAGGCGGGCGGATCATTGAGTCAGAAGATTGAGACCATTCTGCCTAACACGGTGAAACTCCGTCTCTATAAAAATACAAAAATTAGCCAGGCGTGGTAGTGGGCACCTGTAGTCCCAGCTACTCCAGAGGCTGAGGCAGGAGAATCACTTGAACCCAGGAGGCAGAGGTTGCAGTGAGCCGAGATCGTGCCATTGCACTCCAGTCTGGGTGACAGAGCAAGACTCTATCTCAAAAAAAAAAAAGTAAGAATAGTAGAAAGAATAATAAGGGCTTTCTGTTTATAAGGCTCAGGCTCATCAGCAGATACAAAGCTGCCCACCAGAACCACGGGCCTTTCCTCAGGAACAGAGGTCTGAAGGGCCACATGGTCCATAGAGGTGTCCAACAAGGAGCAGACTAAAAACTTGTGAAGAACCAGGTGTGGTGGCTCACACCTGTAATCCCAGCATTTCAGGAGGCCGAGGCAGGTGGATCACTTGAGGCTAGGAATTCAAGACCAGCCTGGCCAACATGGCGAAACCCCGTCTCTACTAAAAACACAAGTATTAGCCGGGCATGGTGGCTCATGCCTGTAATCCCAGCACTTTGTGAGGCTGAGGTGGGCAGATCACAAGGTCAGGAGTTAGAGACCAGCCTGAGCAACATGGTGAAACCTTGTCTCTACTAAAAATAAAAAATTAGCCAGGTGTGGTGGCATGCGCCTATAACCTCAGCTACTCAGGAGGCTGAGGCAGGAGAACTGCTTGAACCCGGGAGGCAGAGGTTGCAGTGAGCCAAGATCGTGCCACTGCACTCCAGCCTGGGCAACAGAGTGATTGGTCTCAAAAAAAAAAAAAAAAAAAACCCATGAAAATTAGCCGGGCCTGGTGGCGGGTGCCTATAATCCCACTACTCAGGGGGCTGAGGCAAGAGAATCACTTGAACCCGGGAGGCAGAAGTTGTGGTAAGCCGAGATCATGCCACTGCACTCCAGTCTGAACGACAAAGTGAGATTCTGCCTCAAAAAAAAAAAAAAAAAAAAAAAAAGTTGTGAGGAAAGTTGATACTGGTTCCCTAGAATGGAACCTGATGTTAAAGACAGTGTTTCCAAAGTATTTCTGAAATCTAAAACAGACTGGTCAACATACGATACTTCTCCCAAGGCACCACATGGCCTCTTAAAATGCACCTCTTGGTATTCGACTGAGAGCAAAGGGCTTCTACACCTTTCTAGGCCTCCTCAAACCTGGCTGCATAATTGCCTTCCAAGTTAACTACTCCTGAACAGTTCGGCCTCAAAATGAGAGCATTTTAAATGCAGGCCAAAGTCATTGGGAAATAAGCCTCCCACCCCAAAATACAATAGAACCACTGTCATCAGCCCTGCCTAGCTAACCATTTTCTGCAGCATAAGCAACTAAAGCTGCACACCAATTTATACCTCAGTGATGTTGCCGCACAAATAAGGAAGCATATAATGCCACCTTTGCCTCTTTAATTAGAGAACAGGCTGGACCAGATGGCTGTGGGGTGGAACCTTATAAAAATGATGGACAACCAGAATGAGATTTTCTGCTCTATCAGCTCAGGCTCTAATTTTGACTGCAAGAAGCTTATGGAGCAGAGGATTAAAGCACTGGTGCTGGCTTGTCTTTAGCTAAAGATAGGAGTGGCCATTCAGAGAAGTTTGTTCATTTTTTTAAAAAGCTACGAACAAATTCTAGTGCTTATATATAAAATATTTATGTATTATAAATACATAATATTTATAATACACAATATTTATGTATTATATTATTATAGTGAAATTAGAAACCTTAGAAATAACTACCTGTCAATAAAGGGAACAAGTAAAGGGATTCGCTTAAGTGGCTGCAGAGTACGCTAAGATCTTTTCCAACCCCAGTGTAGGCACAAACGGCCAAAAAGGGAGCAAGAAGAATAAAAATGGTGAGGTGTTTAACAGCAAAATCTCCCTTTTGTCAACCTATTAAAAAGGGCAAATATGACAGCAAAATTCTGTCCAATTTCACTAAGAATCTTATCCTCACTTGTTTACTAACAGCAGCAAAGTTAACCTGGATTCTGATCCCTTGTGCTGACTTGTGTTTTAAAGAGTAGGTGCCTAGGAGAAAGACGACGAGGGAAAAAGTAGGGCGTGAAGCTCAAAAGAAGCCTCAGTGATTCCAGAGAGAACTTCTGACAAAAATGTGAGGAAGGTGTGTGTGTGTGTGTGTGTGTCTGCGCGCGCGCGCATGTGTCTGCTCTAGTGTGTGTGTGTGTGTGTGTGTGTGTGTGTGTCTGCGCGCGCGCGCATGTGTCTGCCTGCTCTAGTGTGTGTGTGTGTGTGTGTGTGTGTGTGTGTGTGTGTGTGTGTGTGTCTGCGCGCGCGCGCATGTGTCTGCCTGCTCTAATGTCAGAAGCAAAGGAAGACTTTTGGCTTCCCCCTCTCCCCGCCCCCGAGAAGGAGTCTTGCTCTGTAGCCCAGAGCTGGAGTGCAATGGCGCCATCTTGGCTCACTGCAACCTCCGCCTCCCGGGTTCAGCCAACTCTCCTGCCTCAGCCTCCCGAGTAGCTGGGATAATAGGCGCTCAGGACCACACCCAGCTAAGTTTTGTATTTTTAGTAGAGACGGGGCTTCACCATATTGGCCAGGCTGGTCTCGAACTCCTGACCTCGTGACCCGCTCACCTTAGCCTCCCAAAGTATTGGGATTACAGGCGTGAGCCACCGCCTAGCCAGAATTTTTTTTTTTTTTTGAGACGGAATTTCACTCTTGTTGCCCACGCTGGAGTGCAGTGGCGTGATCTCGGCTCACTGCAACCTCTGCCTCCCAGGTTCAAGCGATTCTCCTGCCTCAGCCTCCTGGGTAACTGGGATTACAGGAATGCGCCACCACGCCCAGCTAATTTTGTATTTTTAGTAGAGACGGGGTTTCTCCATGTTGGTCAGGCTGGTCTCGAACTCCCGACCTCAGGTGATCCGCTGCCCGCCTCAGCCTCCCAAAGTGTTGGGATTACAGGCGTGAGCCATCGCACCCGGCCGGAAGATTTTTTAGAAAGAAAATTCTGTTTCAAAGAGGGAAAGGAGGGATAATGGTGATGGAATCCACTGAGCCTCAAACCTAAAAAAATATTCAGACACCTCTAAGTCTTAAACGTGCAAACTGTCCTACAGTGACGGACTACAGGACTCAACTGAGCGTGCAGGGGCCAGTAGGTGTCACAGACCGGGTGGATGCCCGGGGAGTGAGAGCCAAACGCAGGCAGCTCCTCTCCTTGGTGAGACACGGGATCCGCCCCAACTCACTGGTCCCAGAGGCAGTGGCCCAGACGGGCGGGTGTGGATTGAAAGGCTTCCAGGACTGGTGCCGACTGACTGCACCACCACGCCCAGTCTCACATCATCTCCCCCAGACATAGACCGGTCAACTCTAGGTCTGACTACAAGGACCCTTTCGGCTAAGAAGATCCTTTCTAGGGCACTCCATGTTCCTGAGAAGCCAAGAAAACTCGACTCAACCCAAACGTAGGCGGAGAGGCCAGCGGTGAGGGCGCGCTCTGCACTCTGGGAATTGTAGTCCTCGAACGCCTCCGGACCAAGCGGTAGCGAGTGACCTACTTTCTCTGCACACTACACTTCCCTGAGTACTTTGCGAAGGCCCAAGTGGCCGCAATACGCATGCCCGGTAAGGGGAGCCGACCGAGGGTCGAAGAGCCCAGGAAAAGTTTCCGATGCACATGCGCACTGTGGCGGGCCGGCGCCCCCCTCCCATCGCCTAATACATTTCATATAGATTCTACTCCAAAGGCCTACTCCCCGTATTGTATGGCCCCACCACATCCTCTAGGCTTTACGAGAGCCTAACTTTCCCACCTTTCCCTTCATCGCCTTCCATTACTGTTGAAACTAGGATCTGCTTCTAATGAGCTTCTAATGAGCTTCTAATGAGCTTTTTCTGGGTGAAAGGGGTGGGCTGGCTTAGATAAGGTCACGACCCCCTTTCCCGCACTCAATCTGAATTCCAGGGCCTGGGCGGTCCGTGTGGGGTTACTGGACAGCGGTTTCAAAGGGAAACGGGTCTTTTTCACTTAATGCCTAGCGGACTCGGCTCCAGCGCCACAACAGCCAGGAAAGGAAAGGCAGGAATCAAACCCAGTCTCCCGTCCTCTCGGCCAAAGAAATTTCCAGTCAAGCTGTGGGGAGGCGCCAGGCCAAGGCCAGCAGGGCCCAAGCCTCACCCCATTTCTAATCCAAGTCTGAGTAACCAGATCCGGGAGAGGGAAATAGGAAAAGGTTCCCAGGCAGAGAAGAAAAAGCTGTACACCTGACACCTGAGCATCTTCTCATACTAAAAATCTTTGTGTCTCCTCCCATTGCAAGGTCTGCTCTACGACCAGACTTACCAGATCTTCGGCAAGCTCCCCTACTGGGTGTTAAACCTCCTTAATCCTTCCTCCCACACAAGCTTCTTTCCCCTATGCTTCACGGAGGAATGGGGGCAGAAGCCCAAGAAAGAAATAGGATTGTTTTTCTGCCGGAAAATCAGAGTTGAAGGACCCATTCCCAGGGTAGGGTGGGTAAGAAGGAGAAAAAGACCGTTTAGATACGGAGTAGCACCAGAGACTGGCCTCCACCAGTCCCAAGTTGAAGCTTGCTGTGCGGGGTTCTGGTTTCTCCTGGGGGAGGGAGAGGGCCTGCCAGCTATGCCTCCTCTCTGCACCCTCCTTCCCCTCCCAGATTTCTGGTGGTCAAGGGCACAGTTCATCCTCTGGACAGGAGGGGAAGGAGTTTGGGGATAGGGCCCCACCTCGCAGGCACCTTACCAAGATAAGCAGAATCCACTCACTGGCACTGCTCTAAGGGTACTTTTTCTGCCCAATTTTCCATTAAAACACTAAAGAATATAAAGAGCTCAAGCCGAAATGGTGAACTCTGGCTCAGGGGCCCAAGGACAATCTCCACTGACCTGTCCCCTCGCCAAAGGGGGTGTACAACCTCCACCCTTCAGGCTCCACAGAGCCAGAAATAGAGCCTATTAACAATTACCACCCCCCTTCCCTGCACACGGGAAAAGAAGCAGAAAAACAAGGCCTGGATCCCCTTCCTTCCTCGGATTTATTTAACGGTGGGGGGAGTTATGTTTCTTTGAAGAACAAGGAACATCTAGCGAGTAGCTGGGATATAAAGAACTGGGGGAGGCGGGGAAGGGAGGAAATGCACCCCACCCAGGAGAGGGCCACTCTTGGAACTGGGAGAAAAGGGAGGTCTTGGGCACCCCAGGAGCAGAGATGGCGTGAGAAGAGGAGCAGGGGAAAGTGGGATCTAGAGGGAAGCTGGATGGCGAAAGAAAATGCTGGCCAGGCGGGAGGGAGCGGCAGCAACGTGGAGAATCCAGCAAAGCGGGAGTGGGGCGGGGTGGGAGAGGCAGTTCGGCCGGCTGGGTCTCGGGACGGGCCCCCCGCCCGCACACCCCCCAACTCACTCGGGTCTCCGCGGCGGCGGGGCGCTCTGCCGGCCGCAGGGCGGCTTCTCCCTCCAGGGTGGTCCTGAGCACGGGGCGGAGGTCGCTCTCCCTTCCTTCCCGGGCGCCGCCGGGCCGGGGGGCCGAAGTCCTTTTCGTCGTTGAGGGTTGGGGGACGAAGCAGGGGGCTATGGACTATGACTCTCAAGAATTTCTTTCAGCTCTTAGGAGGTCGGGCTCTGCGGCTGGGGGCCGGAGGGCGGGCGAGCGGGCGGACCAGCGGCTACAACGCGGGGATGGCGGACCGGAGGGTGGTTCGTGTCGCGGAACGGAAGACGGTCTGGGCTGTCGCCGGCGGGCGGTCCTGCCCTTCTGGCCCCGCGTCGCCCGAGCCACTGACTTGCCTCCGCCAACAACCCGCACCTTCCCGCGCCCCGGCCCGAAGTGAGCAAAGTCAATGAAAAGTTTCACCCTTAGCAACCCTGCGCACGGATCCGGCTTCCCCACCCCTGCGTGATGCGTCCCTCCGCCCTGCAGGGGAGGGGCCGGGGCCCGGCCGGGACTACTTCCCAGCTACCCCGCGCCTCAGCTCGCTGGTGCTGCGCGGCTCAGCTACCCGGTCCTTCTGTACTCTCAGGTCCTGCGTGCGGGTCCCCTCCGTCCCCTCCCCGTCACAGCGCCGCGCCGCACTCCTTTCCTTCATTCCCATACCACTCTCTGAACTTGTGGGCATCGTGTGAGGTGTTCTCCAGGGGCGCAACGTGAGGGCTGGGGGCGACCTGGGGCCGGGTTGCTCACGGGCCGAGCACAGTGCACTCTCCCTTTAGTTGTGTTTGGGGGACGAGTATCGCGGGGAGGGGAGGGCGTCGCCTTGCCCTCCGGAACCCCCCGCTGAGTCGTCCGCCTTGCACCTGCCTCGGCGCCCAGGGTTCGGACGTTTGCCCGAGCCGTTTCCCGGGGCCTTCCCTCCTGCTCCGAGCGTCTGGCCGTGTCCACGGCGATCCCATCGCCCCAGTTACGGCCTCTGCGGGAGGGGGAGCCGAGGGGACTACGCGGGCTCCGGAAACGTTTCGGACTCGTTTCGGGCAGGCCTGAGTCTTCCGAGCGCCTTGTGCTTCCTCGGGGGACTCAACGTCGAATGAAAGGCGAGGGGGACTCTGGGGCCTGGGCCACGCTGTGCGGGAGTAAGAGGAGGCGAGGATGAGGCCGACGGCCATGAAACGAGCCGAGCGCCACAATGGACCTTCCCCTCACCGCCTCTGGCTCCGGCTCTGCGAGGGCGCAGCTCCTCTCCCAACTCTTGTTTGCTCTCTCTGGCCAGCGACCCCAGTGTGGGGCGCGCGGGAGAACCACATTTCTTCTAGTCAGTCCCGCCGGCGTGGGATGGTCCCTGACCGTGCAACGGGCGCAAGGCTCGCACCCACTACGGCCCCTCGAGCGGTGGAGCGAGGCTCCGCGAACCCGGGACCAGGCGCGCCAGGCCCGCGCGCTGAGGCCCCCTGCCCCGGCTCTGGCCACGCGGGCTGCTCTGCCTCTTTGTGACTGTGCGGGACACAGAACCAGGGATAGGGAGGGTCGTCTTCTGCCGTCACAGGCGGACAGGAGTGCCGGAAGATGCAGTTCGGAGCCCCCGGGGGACTATGAGTGAGGTCTTCTCCCCGGTCCCTCCTTAGATCGCCCATTCCCCAGTTCTCCCCTCCCGCCCCCACCTTTTTGGTCACGCCAGACGGTTCCGGCCCAGCAGCAGCCGCCAACCCCACGTTGGGTGGCGAGATCCGAAAGTTTCCAGTTTGCTTTTTTTTTTTCTTGATCGCTTTTTTTGGCAAGGGCGGAGAGCACCGGTAGCGTGGGGGGTTTAAATGCGCTTTCCCTGAATGCAACAGAAACAAGCCGGGCTGGAGGGCAAACTCCACCGGGACAGGGAGGCGGGAGGGAGCCTGAGTGCCCCCCATCCCCCACACTTCTGAGCGCCACAACCCCGGGGGCACCTCCAGGGACTACTTGCTTTGTGCGTCAGCGAGTGACAGCGTCACACACACGCCCCCTCCCGCACAGCCCCGCTGCACCCTCCCTTTCCTTCTACCCTCCCCTTCTCTCTTTTCCCCTAGATCTTCCACCAGGCAGAGAGGCTCAGCCGACCCACTCGCTCCCAGAGCACTGAAAGCTAAAAATATAGCAGGCGTGTTAGCAACAGCCTTCCCATTGGTCGGGGGAAACGGAGAAGCGGTATCTGATTGGGTTTAGGATCCAGCCGCTAAGACTGGGCCCTTGAGAGTGTGCGTTTGCGCCAGCGGGCAAGGCAAGGGATGCTGGTATTTGTAGTCATTAAGGCAGCCATGAAACTAGGTGGGTTTACACCCCAGTTCTGCTACCTACTGTGTGATCTTGATTTAATGCAAAACGCTTGACATCACCAAACCTCAGTTTCCTCATCTATAAAATGGAGCTCGTGTGGGGGATTAAATATGATGCTGTATGTAAAGCCTGGCTCAAATCGTTGCTATTCTTAGAGTTTAGTGTTTGGGCCAAATTGCCTCTGCATATCCTGCATATCCTGTGCTCAGTATGGTGTGCGCTCTCCAATGTGGAACTTCTGACAACTGTAAAGGTGAAGGTGAGCTGAAGCGAGTTGTCCTATGGCATCTTAGGAGGGACAGCTGGAGTATATATAGGCAGTTAAAGGGTAGACGTCTTCTACCATTCCGGACAGGCTGAGGGAGGGCGGACTGAACCCTTAGAAGGAAGGCCATGAATTTCTGCGTGTTTGTGCGTTTAATAGAATCTCTTCTGCAACGCTGGAAAGATACCAGCCCTGAGCAGCAGCAGCATCATTAGAATGAAATGAGAAATCCAGACTCCTTGGTGGGAGCTCTGGGTAAAAGGTTAGCATGTGAGTAGGAAAAGATAAAATCGAGGGGAAAAAAGGTAACCACCCTTCTCAACTGCTGATGTCTCTATCATGTGGTGAGGAAGAAGTGTTTTTTTTCCTTTCCAGTGTGTGATTACATCTTGCCAGGGCTTAATTGTGAGCTGAATGCCTACTCAGGCATTCCAGATTCCCCTCCCATTTTGAATAATCATATGTTGACAGGCATGCACTGTGCTTGCAAAATGGTGAGCTCTGTGAGCAAGCAAGTTAGGTAGGGAGAAGGTGGGGGCACATCCCCTGTCTGAGAGTAAGCAAGATGTGGCGCCATGAGAAGTCAGGCTGGTCATAATTGGCCCCAGTTAACTCACATAGATGCGTCACCCTTTCATACACACTCCAGGGCAAGAAATTTTGTATTGTTTCTTTGAAGTTATCCAAGAAAATAGTTCCTCAATTTGATTTCTTCAGCAGATGTAAAGACAGAAACTGGTTTTGGGGAAGTGTGGTTGCCTACTTAAGAAAAATGATTTTTAAAAAAATTTTTATTTATTGTTTGTTTATTTTTTGAGACAGAGTCTTGCTCTGTTGCCCAGGCTGGAGTGCAGTGGCATGATTTCGGCTCACTGCAACCTCCACCTCCTGGTTTCAAGTGATTGTCGTGCCTCAGCCTCCTGAGTAGCTGGGATTAGAGGCATGTACCACCACACCTGGCTAATTTTTGTATTTTTAGTAGAGTCGGGGTTTCACCATGTTGGTCAGGCTGGTCTCGAACTTCTAACCTTAGGTGATCTGCCTCCCTTGGCTTCCTGAAGTGCTTGGATTACAGGCATAAGCCACCATGCCTAGCCGACAAATGATTTTTTATGTATTCACCAATACTGTGAAGTCTAGTAAACAAGGTAAGTAAACCTGTCTTGCTAAGATGCTAAAATGCAGTGTTCAAAGAAAGTAACATTTTAGCTTTGGTGGTCTCAACAGGCCCCTCTGGACAGAGCTGATAAGGAACTGAGCGACTGGGAACAGGTGGAAATAATCAGTCTTTTAAGACAGGAAAATTCCAGGCAAGGCAAAGAATCTTTTCCTTCTATATCCTTGCTTCAAACTACAATAAAAAAGCTACAGGTCTGGCTGTGCACGGTGGCTTACGCCTGTAATCCCAGTACTTTGGGAGGCCGAGGCAGGCGGATCACCTGAGGTCGGGAGCTTGAGACCAGCCTGACCAACATGGAGAAACACCGTCTCTACTAAAAATACAAAATTAGCCCGGCATGGTGGCACATGCTTGTAATCCCAGCTACTAGGGAGGCTGAGGTAGGAGAATCGCTTGAACCTGGGAGGCAGAGGTTGCAGTGAGCTGAGATCACACCATTGCATTCCAGCCTGCGCAACAAGAGCGAAACTCTGTCTCAAAAAAAACCCCAAAAAACGCTACAGGCGCCTGGTGGCTCACACCTGTAATCCCAGGACTCTGGGAGGCCAAGGAGGGTGGATCACAAGGTCAGGAGATTGAGAACATCCTGGCCAATGTAGTGAAACCCCATCTCTACAGGCTGGGCACCGTAGCTCACGCCTGTAATCCCAGGACTTTGGGAGGCCAAGGCAGACAGATCACCTGAGGTCACGAGTTTGAGACCAGCCTGGCCAACATGGTGAAACACCGTCTCTATTAAAAATACAAAAAAAGGCCGGGCGCAGTGGCTCAAGCCTGTAATCCCAGCACTTTGGGAGGCCGAGACGGGCGGATCACGAGGTCAGGAGATCGAGACCATCCTGGCTAATACGGTGAAACCCCGTCTCTACTAAAAATACAAAAAACTAGCCGGGCGAGGTGGCGGGCGCCTGTGGTCCCAGCTACTCGGGAGGCTGAGGCAGAATGGCGTGAACCCGGGAGGCGGAGCTTGCAGTGAGCTGAGATCCGGCCACTGCACTCCAGCCCAGCGACAGAGCGAGACTCCGTCTCAAAAAAAACAAAAAAAAAAAAAAAAAACAAAACAAAAAAAAATAGCTGAGCGTGGTGGCGGTTGCCTATAATCCCAGCTACTCAGGAGGCTGAGACAAGATAATTGCTTGAACCCGGGAGTCAGGTTGCAGTGAGCTGAGACTGCACAATTACACTCCGGCCTGGGCAACAAAGTGGGACTCTGTCTCAAAAAAAAAAATCCCTTCTCTACTAAAATACAAACAATTAGCCGGGCATGGTGGTATGCACCTGAGGCTGAGGCAGGGGAACTGCTTGAACCCGTGAGGCAGAGGTTGCAGTGAGCTGAGATCCTATCACTGCACTCCAGTCTGGTGACAGAGCAAGACTCCATCTCAAAGCAAAAAAAAAAAAAAAAAGCTGCAGGTCAGAATAGAGTGACACATAGTCTTTCTGAAATTTAGTCAGTTCAGTTTGATTCCCTGGGAAGTTAATTTTAATTTAGAAGCTGCTAATTTGGCAGGCCAATGTCCACATCTGGCAGATGTGTTTTCTTGGCATATACTGACATATTACGGTTTTAAAAGTGAGTTGCCAATATTGAAAATTTGGGATGTTGTACAAAAATATCTTAAATTGCCACTTGTCCTAAATTCAAAATATCTGGCAACACTGGGCATTCAAACTGGCAGCAATTGTCTGGAGTTGAATAGCAGCTGTCTCCTTTAGACAGGGCTTGTGTTCTTTGGTTGCCTAAGGTCCCCACCACTCCCCTATTGTGTCCCAGACACAGAGGGTGAGGGTCACATACCATTTATCATCACACTTGGGCTATTATTCTTTTACCCCTCCCTTTTCAATCAATGATATTACTCACCCAGACTCCTGAGTTTGTGACCCCTTTTTCTTTTTTTTTTCTTTCTTTCTTTTTTTTTCTTTTTTTGAGACAGTGTCTCGCTTAGTGGCCCAGGCTGGAGTGCAATGGCGCGATCTCGGCTCACTGCAAGCTCCGCCTCCCGGGTTCACGCCATTCTCCTGCCTCAGCCTCCCGAGTAGCTGGGACTACAGGCGCCCGCCGCCTCGCCCGGCTAATTTTTTGCATTTTTAGTAGAGACGGGGTTTCACCGTGTTAGCCAGGATGGTCTCGATCTCCTGACCTCGTGATCCGCCCGCCTCGGCCTCCCAAAGTGCTGGGATTACAGGCATGAGCCGCCGCGCCCGGCTGTGACCCCTTTTTCAGTTTAATTTAGCAAGTAATTGTTGGAGTGGTTGCATATTGTATGCCCTGGGTGGAAGGAGAGGCAAAGGGAACTCAAGGATCTTATTCATCATCTAGTTAGTTGTTGCTGTTGTTTTTTAATAGAGACAGGGTTTTGCTAGGTTTATTGGCCAGGTTGGTCTTGCCTCAAGCAATCCTACCACCTCCCAAATTGCTAGGATTACAGGTGTAAGCCACCGCACCTGGCCTAGTTGATTTTATTTTTATCCCCCCCACCCCCCCCACCGAGCCCCTCTTCTAGTTAATTGTTTTAAAACTTGAGGTTGTCATCCATTAGTGGGGGGTCATAAAATTACCCAGTTTAGGCCAGGCATGGTGGCTCATGCCTGTAATCTCAGCACTTTGGGAGGCCAAGGCGGGCAGATCACGAGGTCAGGAGTTGGAGACCAGCCTGGCCAACATGGTGAAACACCATCTCTACTAAAAATATAAAAATTAGCTGAGCGTGGTGGCAGGCACCTGTAATTCCAGCTACTAGGGAGGCTGAAGCAGGAGAATCACTTGAAACCTGAAGGCAGAGGTTCCAGTGAGCCAAGATCACGGCACTGCACTCCAGCCCGGGCAAAAGAACGAAACTCCATCTCAAAAGAAAAACAAAACAAAACCCAGTTGAATGGATTTCAGCCAGGAATTTTAGAATAGAATGAAAGAAAATGAAAATATCAGGCCAGGTGCAGTGGCTCACGCGTATAATTTCAGCACTTTGGGAAGCCGAGGCAGGTGGATCACAAGGTCAGGAGATCAAGACCAGCTGGGCCAATATGGTAAAACCCCATCTCTACTAAAAATACAAAAATTAACTGAGTGTGGTGGTGGGCGCCTGTAGTCCCAACTACATAGGAGGCTGAGGCAGGAGAATCGCTTGAACCCAGGAGGTGGAGTTTGCAGGGAGCTGAGATCGTGCCACTGCACTCCAGCCTGGGTGACCGAGACCCTGTCTCAAAAAAAAAAAAAAAAAAAGAAGAAAATGAAAGTATCAGATTATAGCTCGCACAGTAATATTGTTTCATGAAACTTTTGTTTCTGTTGTATGTAGGTACTAGACATGAAAATAATGCAAATGACAGAAATTGTTGTGGGTTATGGTGCTTCTGGAACCTTTCATGAGATGTCAGGGGCTTGAAAGGAAGAGGTATCCATTTGGCCAGTAGATGGGAAGGTAGAAGGGTATTTCAAACAAAGGAAACAGCCATGGAAAAGGCAGTGAGTATTCAAGGGATGTCCCTTCGACTGCCTGATGGAGTGAGGAGCACAGATAGAAGTCAAGTAAGGAGGCTGGGCGTGGTGGCTCATGCCTGTAATCCCAGCACTTTGAGAGGCCGAGGCCGGGGAATCACCTGAGGTCAGGGGTTTGAGACTAGCCTTGCCAACATGGGGAAACCCGTCTCTACTAAAAATACAAAAATCAGCTGGGTGTGGTGGCACATGCCTGTAATCCCAGCTACTCAGGAGGCTGAGGCTGGAGAATTGCTTCAACTCAAGAGACGGAGGTTGCAGTGAGCCGAGATTGAGTCACTGCATTCCAGCCTGGGCGACACAGCAAGATTC